AGCAGAGATTTTTGTCTGTACTGCTCATGGCTACATTCTCGACACTAGGACACTGCCCAGCACCGCGGTGGAGATGGTAGTTACTGTGGAGTGAAGCACACTGCCCAGTCTAACCAACCAGGCAGCATTCCGAGCAGGGCGTTCAGAGCTCTATGCAGCTACCACAGCGCTCCCTGCATGGGGTATATTTGCTGCTGATGGTCAAGGAAAGGACATGGTCTTAAATTATGGCAGGAGCAATTTATGTCAAACTCGAGGAACATTTCAGTGTGTGAGGCCTGGGCGGCTGAAGAACTTTGGTGAGTAGGAGTTCTTTAAAGGAGACACAGTTGGCCCCAGCTGGGTGGCTGAGTTGGTTGGAGCGTCGTCCTGTACACCAAAAGGTTGTGGGTTCGGTTCCTGGCCAGGGCATATGCCTAGGTTGCAGGTTCGATCCCTGGTCGGGGTGTGTACAGGAGGCAACTGATCGATGTTTCTCACATCATTTTCTCTCTCTTTTTCTTCTCTCTCTCTCTCTCTCTCTCATCAATAAGAAAAATATATCCTTGGGTAAGGATTTTTTTTAAAAGGCACAGTTGGATGACTGTAACCTTAGAACAGGTTTTTGTGAAGGCCTGGACAGAGGGTCATGAGAGAGTTCAGTAAACCACATGGTGAGGGTGCGGTGTCTCCTTCCTAAGAGAACATTTGGAGCGAGCAGGACAGATGTTTAGCGGTAGCGGTTGTGGCTTTTACTTTGGAAATAGCTCTGGCCACTCTCCCCCTGACACGCTCAGTGACACAGCAAAGGCACCCGATGTCTTGTCTTTCCAGCAGGCAACCGTGCACATGGTTTCAAGTGTGAAAGGCACAACATAGACAGATGGCAAAGTAAATCTCCCACCCTCCCTGCCCCCCAGTTCCTTTGCTTAGAGGTAACCAGTGTGACCAGTTTCTTGTGTATCCCGTGGAGACTTTTATGCATGCACACATGTGTTGCCTTTTTCTCTCTCACAAATGGCAACACACTACACACATTTTTCTTACTTTGCTTTTCCACTTTACAATATATTTTGGAGATCGTTTCATGCTGCTAATATATGTCAGGCTACTTAATTCTTGTAACAATTGCACAGCCCTCCGCTGGTTGTGTACCAAGTGACCATAACCCAGCGGTTCTCAACCTGTGGGTCGCGACCCCTTTGGGGGGGTCGAAGGACCCTTTCACAGGGGTCGCCTAAGACCATCGGAAAATACATATATAATTACATATTGTTTTTGTGATTAATCACTATGCTTTAATGATGTTCAATTTGTAACAATGAAATTGGGGGTCACCACACCATGAGGAAGTGTATTAAAGGGTCACGGCATTAGGAAGGTTGAGAACCACTGCCATAACCAGTGCTCTGCTGATAGAGACTTCCCATTTTGATATCATAAGTTACGGATTTGAATGTGCCACTTTCCAGCAATGGATCCTTGGGCACATTGTCTCATCTGAGTCTCTGTTTCTGCATCTGCAAAATGGAGCAATAACATCTGTCTCTGAGGGCTAATGTGAGGATTGGATGAGATGTTGAGCACAAAGCCCCAGGACCGTGCTTGGTCTCAGTGGGGTTCCAGCAAAGGGTGGGGCAGTCATAGTTGTCTTCATCATCTCTTTCCCTTCCCCTGGAATTTCTTCCTAAATTTATTTAAATCCAGGAAAGAGCCACCACACATGCAGGGGGGAGGGAGGGGTGTCTGCAAGATCATCACCCTTTATGCAAAGATTTTATGTATTTACCTGCAAGCTCCTTGTAGAGACCATCCCCCTGGGATGAAGCAAGGGTCAGCATGGTGGCGATACTGCCCTTCACCTTCTCCGTGATTCCATGCTGCACAAAACAGGATGGTCCTTCTGTTAGGACGGCACAGCCCACGGGAAAGGGAATCTTAGGAAAGGGGCCCCACCCAACTCCCCAATCCGAGTGTGCAGACTGGGGCTGCCCAAGTCAAAGTCAGGTCCAAGGCGGGCCACCTTAGAGCGCACAGGATGGCTCGGGAGTCATCAGGGCGACATCTCCGTGGGGTCCCACCTGTCTCAGCACCTCCTTTCCAGCCTTTGCGAGGGATTGTCTGTCCCTCTGGTGCTGACGGACTGAATCAGGACCTAACGAGGCTGCATGGGAGAGATCACAGCACCGAAGGGATGGGAAAGAGGGAACGTGCGCTCACTGTCCACCATCCTATCACGCATTCAGTCACGGGATGCGTGTTTATTGAGTACCCGCTTCGTGCGAGACACTAGCTGGCAATCCTGATTTTTCTTCCCAACTTTTGGACAAATATCTTCTTGCTCCTCCCAGTCCCTCTGTCATCTAAAACCATGTTCTCTCTTCCAACCAGCTCTTGCTTCCCTTTGAAAAATACCCGATTCTCTCCTCTAGTCTGACGAAGCCTAGTTTTGAACCTGGATCTTCTGATTCCAAGTCTTATGCTTTTCTCTTCAACATACCGGGCCTAAAACCCCAAGCTCCAGCCTCAGCTCCAGCTCTGAGCCTTAGCTAGTAACTTGGGTGTCAGCTCCCTTGTCCGTAAGGTCAGGGGATGGGGACGCTCTGTGGTCTTGGCCTATTTCAACTTCCTACACTTAACCTCATTTAAGATACTTTTTTTAAAAAATGTATTTATTGACTTTTTTACAGAGAGGAAGAGAGAAGGATAGAAAGTTAGAAACATTGGATGAAGAGAGAACATGAATCAACTGCCTCCTGCACATTACCTATTGGGTATGTTCTCCAAACAGGTAAATCCCTATGACCGAATTGACCGTGTGACGCTAGAGTATGAGGGTGGAAGGT